GTAAAGTATGAAAAGAAAAGTGAAATATTTGACAAAAAACTGCTTTCTTTGGACTTTCTGTTGCACCAACACTTTTTACTTTGCGCTTTGCAAAAGTAAACTGCAAAACTTTACAAAAAAACTGCAAATGATTAATTCACTTTGCAAATTTTGCAAAGTGATTTCTTTCAATGCGTAAAATGAAAGAAATCATTAATAAATAAATAAAAATAGTTTTAAAAAAATAGAAATTGAAAATTAGTTGAAGCAAATATTATTGCTGTTTTTGAAATAAATTTAGTTGCAATAATTAAAGGGATATATTACCGGACAATACTTTTAAATTGTGAATTAAAGAGTTCAGTTTCTAAAAAAAACTTATAATACATTTAAAATAGATATTTTATGTGAATTATTGTTTAAGCATGAACACTTATTTATTATAATGAGCAGTTTATTATTATTATAAGTCTGTTATCGTTCAAATTCTCCGAATTATGAACCAAGAAAAAACATGGGTAAAAAATATCCTATAATAGCTAACATTGTAACATTTTTAAATATCTAATTATCCGTATCTAATTATGATAATAAAAATGTATTTCTAAAGACAATAGAAGAAAAAATCACAAGTGCCTGGACTTGCGTCGTTTTTTGAACCTTGTTTGAAATGTAATTAAAAATAATATAGTTCACTAAAATTAGTGATAACAGACAACATATTATTTTAACGTTGATAGTAAAATTAGTTAAGTTAGTTTTAAGGTAATTTTGTATAAATTAAGAAAAATGTTCTAAATAAAATCAATAATTTAGGCCCTTTATGCGTAGGTTTCTTTTGTATTAGGATAATACACAGCGACAAGTAAACAATACTTTAATAACTTATAATATTTTAAAATTAAATAATAATGACAGATTTTCAACTAAATTTTTATATAAAAGCAACTTATTATATTTGTTAACTTTGTTTTTCAATATAATTGTTGTTAAAACAACTCATACTCCTTACATATAAATTCTTTTTCTATAACTTTTCAAACAGCAAAATAAATTAAAAGTATAAAAATTGTCTCTATGGATATACACAACTTCTTTATCTAGGATTCAATGTCAATAAAAGAAATCATATACAAAAATTTTGTGTTTTGTTTTATGTATAACATATAATTGTACTAAAATTATACAAATATTACAAATTGTAATAATATAAATTATTAAAATAAAATATTATTTAAAATACTTTTATTTTAAACAAAAATTAAACTCATAAGTACATACTATGCATAAATCATGTACTCATAGCATCAAAATATCAAACAAACAAAAAACAAGTATACATACAGAATCGAAATGCTTTCAAAAACCAATACAAAATGAAAGTGATCTAATTTTTTGGTGCAACGCTTTGCTTTGCATTTTATGCAAAGACTTTGCAAAATTTTTATTTTTTTTTTGCAAAGTAAATTTGTTAAGCTTTGGTGCAACGCTTTTCATTTTTACTTTGCACTTTGCAAGTAAAAATTTTGCAAAGTCTTTGCATAAAATGCAAAGCAAAGCGTTGCACCAAAAAATTAGATCACTTTCATTTTGTATTGGTTTTTGAAAGCATTTCGATTCTGTATGTATACTTGTTTTTTGTTTGTTTGATATTTTGATGCTATGAGTACATGATTTATGCATAGTATGTACTTATGAGTTTAATTTTTGTTTAAAATAAAAGTATTTTAAATAATATTTTATTTTAATAATTTATATTATTACAATTTGTAATATTTGTATAATTTTAGTACAATTATATGTTATACATAAAACAAAACACAAAATTTTTGTATATGATTTCTTTTATTGACATTGAATCCTAGATAAAGAAGTTGTGTATATCCATAGAGACAATTTTTATACTTTTAATTTATTTTGCTGTTTGAAAAGTTATAGAAAAAGAATTTATATGTAAGGAGTATGAGTTGTTTTAACAACAATTATATTGAAAAACAAAGTTAACAAATATAATAAGTTGCTTTTATATAAAAATTTAGTTGAAAATCTGTCATTATTATTTAATTTTAAAATATTATAAGTTATTAAAGTATTGTTTACTTGTCGCTGTGTATTATCCTAATACAAAAGAAACCTACGCATAAAGGGCCTAAATTATTGATTTTATTTAGAACATTTTTCTTAATTTATACAAAATTACCTTAAAACTAACTTAACTAATTTTACTATCAACGTTAAAATAATATGTTGTCTGTTATCACTAATTTTAGTGAACTATATTATTTTTAATTACATTTCAAACAAGGTTCAAAAAACGACGCAAGTCCAGGCACTTGTGATTTTTTCTTCTATTGTCTTTAGAAATACATTTTTATTATCATAATTAGATACGGATAATTAGATATTTAAAAATGTTACAATGTTAGCTATTATAGGATATTTTTTACCCATGTTTTTTCTTGGTTCATAATTCGGAGAATTTGAACGATAACAGACTTATAATAATAATAAACTGCTCATTATAATAAATAAGTGTTCATGCTTAAACAATAATTCACATAAAATATCTATTTTAAATGTATTATAAGTTTTTTTTAGAAACTGAACTCTTTAATTCACAATTTAAAAGTATTGTCCGGTAATATATCCCTTTAATTATTGCAACTAAATTTATTTCAAAAACAGCAATAATATTTGCTTCAACTAATTTTCAATTTCTATTTTTTTAAAACTATTTTTATTTATTTATTAATGATTTCTTTCATTTTACGCATTGAAAGAAATCACTTTGCAAAATTTGCAAAGTGAATTAATCATTTGCAGTTTTTTTGTAAAGTTTTGCAGTTTACTTTTGCAAAGCGCAAAGTAAAAAGTGTTGGTGCAACAGAAAGTCCAAAGAAAGCAGTTTTTTGTCAAATATTTCACTTTTCTTTTCATACTTTACTTTTCATTGAAAAGTACATTGGTGCAACGCTTTGCATTTTTTGAGTGTTTTCAAAACTTTGCATAACTCAATTCTCAAATTAATGCTTTATGTTCTCAATGAGAGAAAAATGCTCAAAAACTCATAAAAATTTGCAAAGTGAAAAGTGAAAAGTGTTGGTGCAACAGGGCCCTGGTTTATGATTTCATTCTAAAATAAACACAGCAAATGAATTTGTTAATAAAACTTTCACAGCAAATCAATAAAATTCCTGAAAAAAATGTGCAAACATAGAAGTCAAGTACGGTTTTGGGTCAGTTGGTTAAGGTGCGCTGACTCTGAGCTTCAAATTTGGCAGGACACGACTTCAATTCCTGGTACCTGCAGTCTCAAAAAATTATTTACGAATAATTATATATAAGAATTATTTCCAAGACCACTGATGATTCATTTAATTAAAATGATATAAAATGAATTTTTGTTGTCATATTTCACTACTATTCGAAAAACCTCCTTTATTTTATATATATAAAATATAATAAAAATGAAATTAAATATATAATCTTTAATGTGTTATTGAAATGTGCAACAATGTTTTGAAATTTTTTTTTTTTGCTATAAAACGATATAAATAACTCGACTGTATTTATAAATTATAAATATAATCGATAATTGTGAATTTCAATATATTTACTAATTCATTTGCTATCTTTATAACAAAATCTATTTTACTTTGTCTGTGATATACGTATTTCGTTTTAGTAACAACTCGCTAAAGTAATTTAAAAGACAGCAAAACAAATTAGTTTTAAAAAATATCTTCAAATTTCAATTACAACACAACTTAAGAAACTTTATTTAGTAGGTCTTATATCAAGGACTACAACCGGTCAAATGATGTCAACCCATTTGAATTTAACCTATTATTTACGTTGATGTAATCAGAGATTTACAAAAGGGACTAAGCTGACAACATTTACAAATAATAATTTATGTAATATTATTATTATTTGCAAAGTTAATCAAATTTTTCATAGCAGCTAATGCTTATTTTTTATATCTGATCTATTAAAAACCATCTATATCAAATAGTAATAATAATGATTTTCAATTATATATAAAATTGTTGTCCTTAATGATGTGCATAAGTAAACCTGAGTAATACAGTATCTTATAAAACGTAAGAGTGTTATGATATTGGTTTAATACTTTATTAACTTTTAAAATAAATATCAATGTATTTACCAATACCCCAAATGCTCTTATATACACAGATTTTAAAAATAGTACCTCTTTGGGTGAATTATACCACCACATCCCAAAGTGAATTTAAACTACATCTATTTAGTTGTGTAATTCAATTGGTATTATATTAATTTGATAAAGATTATTTATATCTATTATTTTACTTAGTACATCAATTAGGGTTAGATTAGGTTACACCGGCGATTTGAGCGAGATCCACTTAGGCCTATAGTCCCATTGTGCTATCGTAGTGCATCAATTAAAAATTAAATAAATTTTGCTTAACAAATCTTCTTTATTTTAAATACTATGTGTTGTTTCACAATCCATTTATAAAAAATATAGAGACAGACTGTCTCCATGCTTGAATTGATAGTAATATGATATGATAACTAGAACAATAAAGAATGTTCATTTTAACTTTGTAGACAATATCATTCAAGTTTAATGTATATTTTTGTGTTATTAATTCTACAGTATATAAGTTATTTAATATATGATAATATAACTTCTTTCACCTTATTAAATCGATATTATAAATACACTCAGAATTTTATTCAATTTCGTAAATACACTACCAAAAAAATAATTTAAAAATAAAAAAAAAATATTTTAATATATTAAATTATTTATTTGAGAAAATCACATCAAATTAATTAATTTGACGTACTTTATTGTAATAATCTTATCTTATTAATAAATTTCGATGTATGTATATATGTATATAATCTTGAGGAAGCACACATGAATGTGCATTTGTTTTCGCTTTGTAAATACATTTATAATTTACTTTATTATACCTTAAAGGAAGCGTTTTACAAAAAATTATTTTTTATCTTTGTTTTTAGATAAATATGGATTTAAATAAACAACATGGATTCATTGAAACCAATGAAGATAGGTCTAGAGCAATGTACTACAACAGGGGAATGAATATGAATGAATCAAGACATCACAGACAATATTTTATACCGGAGAGAACAATAGGCAATAACAAGGCATGTGCGTGTTCAAGCATGCCAGGCAATATAATGTGCAATGAATGTAGAACTAATACAACCACTGAAGATGGTGGTTGGGGTTCTCAACATATATCAAGATCAGATATAAGGAATATTGATACAAAAGGTGCAATTAAACAAAATCCACTTTATATCAACTCAAGTGGCAATAATAATGCATACTGGCAACAAAATTGTTCGACTGCTGTTCCACAAATGGACAGAAATATCTTAGTTAAGCCTTCCACAACTGATACAAATTATAGTTATAAGCAACAATATCAACAATCTGATGGTATACCTAATCATCAACGTGCAAATTCGATTAGTACTTACTGTAAGGAACGTTCCTACAACGAATATACACCTAAGAGTGAAGTCAAAATATCCTACATGCCCTCAGCTACTTCTGCAGCATCAATATATAATATAGATAATCACAATAACAATACAGGTGGTGTACTTCGTTCTGGCAAAACTGATCAACAAGTAATTAATCCTAGTAATATCCTTTCTACAAAGGAACAACATCCAAGTCCTAATTATGCTCGAAAATGTCCACAAATATTTTCACCTGCAGAACAAAATTCTACACATATGAGTTTGTATATGCCAACCCCTCAATTTAGTTCAGATAAATTCATCAATGCTCATAATCAAAAATTACGCATGGAATCACCACAGCACGAATATAGAACATTGAATAATACGACAGTACAAAAACACATAATGTCAGAAAAAACAAAATTGTCAGAAAGTCCAGTACGTTTGTCATCTCCAATGACTGGTTATACAAATGCAAATAAAAGCAAATATCCAAGTAATGAATTGTTGCAGCCAGTTCAGTCAAATATAATGCAACAACAAACGCCTTATAGATCTAATAATGGTCAATCAAGAAATATTGATTATTTTCCACAGAACAATCCCAAGGTGCATGCGCCGGAAATGTCACCCATCATAGCAAAGCAATCTCCTCATGCTGCTTATCAGTATTCTAACTGTACCGTACCACCACCACCACCAACTTCACACATATTACCATTAAGAGGATCAACAAATGATTTAGATTATGTTAAAAAAGAAGATGATCTGTGTGACAGTCTTGGTGTACCAAATCGAAATTTATATATAAATCCTTATAACACTCCACCTTCTTCTGATAGTTGCTATAAAGAATCTTCATCACCTTTTTTGTCTATATCTCATTATCGTGACGAATCACCGCACAGTTACAATAAATATAGTAAATCAACTCAAGAAATTGATGTAGCAAATAAGATCATAAATGTTAATCAAAATACTCCACCGCTAAGTAGAACACCTAGTTTTCGAAATCAGCAATATTATTATGAAACCTCCAGTAAATATGATGGAAGTCCATATGGCACACCATCTCCAGCAGTGGCTACCGTAGCATCACCATCATCAATATTATCTACACCACAAACTCAAACACCACATCACAATGAATACACTTCACCATCACATCGAATGCAGTCTTATCAATCAGCCGCTATTGAAAATCGACGACACTCCAATCAAACGCAAGACAATGTTCCTTCTCACATCGATGCATATGATTTGCCAATTTCGCAGAAGTCTAAAATAAATTGCCCTAATAATATTCCAGCAATACCAAATCAAACTACCGGAATAGTACAAACAGCCCAACAACCCAAGAAATCTCATGTTCCAAAACCCAACTATAAAGAATTAATTAATCAGGCTTACGCAAGGCGTAATATACCTGAGGAGGAACTTAATCTACAAATTATAAAAAAAACTCTAAATGTTGATACCCAAGTTATAAGAACTAATGTCAATAATGTTCCAAGAGCAGCAGCACAAGTTGATAGAGTTCAACAAAGTTCACCGCATCTTGTAAATGTAGTTAACAATCAACCAAATATATCGCCGGCACCAGATACATATAGAAACGAAACGTATCGTCCAGATCTTTTACCACATCATATGCAATCACAAGCGAGAACACCGGTTGGACCTATAATTTCAAATATAAGACCACCAGTAATAAAACAAGAAGAAAAAATATCTAATTATTCCCCCCTGGATCTTTCTATGCGTACAGTGAAAACAAAGGCTGATTCCACTGAATACAAATACAAATGTTATTCGTCAAGTTCTCCAAGCGTTGACTGCAAATATGGTTTGCCAAGAGTAGATTTTACACCTAATTTTTCTATGCATGCTTCTGATAGAAATGTTATTATAAAACCAAATGGACATTCACGAATGGAACAAAATGAGTGCGTTACTTACACATCAGCAGACTTAAGTCACATTCCTGCCATGACTGTGCCGCGAGGTGAACAAACTCCTTTGCCTAAAAAGCAATATAATGAAAGTAATTCACTAATATTTAACAACTCAACCCAATATAAAGCAAATCCACGAAGTGCTGTAATACCAAATGAGCCGGCATTGACTTCAAAAGCTAACTTACAGCGGAAAACCGGTTCTCTTGTAATAAAATCAACAACAAATGCCGTTGTTAGTTGTGATGTAAATATATGCCAAGTACGCCCAAGTGTACTGGAAACAAATCCTTTTGCAACTGTTAAAAGTATAAAAAGTGAACCGAAAATTTCGGAAAGAAATATGTTTGCAGTTGATAAATTACCACCAGATACTAGTATTATGCCTTTACCAAAGACTGTAGTAACTGGTCCACCTTCGAATCCAGGCATACCTCCAATAGATAAAAAAGTTGAACCTGCAACACAATCGAATTATCATAAAGCATGTGAACTAAATCGCAATTATTTGGGAAGGAAGCGTCATTTACATGAATACTCTAATTCCAATCTGAACTATGTTGAACCAGTTTCTAAACAACCGCGATATCAAGAACCGTATTCAAAATTCGAAAATATGCGTTCTGCAGATATATCTGTTATTGCGGTTAATGAGAAGTCTTTAGAAAACGAAAAAAGTAAAACAGCTGAAAAGTCTATCCAGGCTGAAGTTACAAATTACCCACTACCACCTAACCATATAGATATACCAATTGTTAATGAAAACATAGTTTTTAAAGAGGAGCCTGTAACGCCAACTTCAGATGTTGTTCCCATACCAATTACGCCACCAGTTCCAGTAAAAACAGAAACTAACTTTGCTGCAAGAATTAGAACGAAAGCTGAACTTAAAGGATTTACTTTCAATCCACCAATTGAAAATACAGACTCCACACCGCCGATAATATCAGTACTTCCTACTGTAATAAAGGAAGAACCTTCTGTTCCCGTTTCAAACATAGAGTTGCCGTCCATATCTGGTTTAACGGAGGATTTTAGTGCCGGAAGTCTTTTAGATTTTAGTTGGG